GTTAATTTTGTATTTTAATTTTTGATAATAGGGTAAAAATTTCATATTCTTTATTTAATTTGAATAATTTTATATTTTAAATTTAAATTTTATTATTAATTTTTGGTAATACGATAAAAAATTATATTATTTATTTAATTTGAATAATTTTTTATTTTCATTTTTATTTTAATTTTATTTTCAATTTAATTTTCTAATTCTAATTTTAACTTTTCATCTTTATTTTAATTTTAATTTTAATTTTTGTTAATAGGGTAAAATTTGCACATTCTTTATTTAATTTGAATAATTTTATATTTTCATCTTAATTTTAGTTTTATATTTTTATTTTTTTCTTTATTTTGATTATTAATTTTTGATAATAGGTTAAAAATTTCATATTCTTTATTTAATTTGAATAGTTTTATAATTTATGTGTTAATTTTAATTTTAATTTTTAATTTTTAATTTTTGGTAATTGGATAAAAATTTTATATTCTTGCGTCTTGAGTATAGTAGTTGTGACTTTCATTTTAAAATGAATTACCGCCTTACTTATAGTAGTTACAATTCGGTTCGCTTAATTTTGGTTATTGTGCTTCACTCTATTATCTCTTGTACAATGTTCTAATATTCTGCTTCAATTTTTGCAGGATGGATTATCATCTAGACGCAAAGCAGAGACGGATGCCAGGCAAAGCTATGTGGAACAGTAGCTTTGACATGTTTACCATTCTACTAGAGCTACTCGATGATCTAAGGCAAATGTGCTGCGCTAGTCCTTTTTTGTGGCCTCTGTACCAGTTGAGAGACTTGTAGTACTCAGGTTAGATTATTGATACTCTTCTATGTCGATTGCTGAGTCCAATCTATTTTCACCTTCTTTGGTGTTGGGACAGCCACTTTAGTAAGACACCCCCACACTCGTAAGTATTTATAGGAAGGTGTTCTTCCTTTCTATAACTCATAAGCGGCCTTCTTCATTTTCTTTCGGGGCACCTTATTCAAAAGGTAATTTACTGATAATACAGCATCCCCCCACATGTTCTGAGGTAATCCAAAACTTACTAGCATCGCATTCATCATCTCCTTTAAAGTGTGATTTTTCCTTTTAGCAACACCATTTTGTTGCAGTGAATACGGTGTGGTGGTTTCATGTATGATTTCGTGATGTGCACAGAATTCAGCAAATGGTGCTTCATACTTGCCACCTCAATCACTTCTTAGCACCTTAATTTTCTTGTTAAGTTGATTTTCAACTTCATTCTTATAGAGAACAAATTTCTCGATCGCTTCATCCTTACTTTTTAGCAAATACACATAGCAGTATTTCGTGCTATCGTCGACAAAAGTAATAAAATACTTGTTGCCACCTCTTGTTTGTACAAATTTTAAATCACATATATCACTGTGAATTAAATCAAGTGATTCTGTATTTCGTTCAATTGACTTAAATGACGACCTAGTCAATTTTATTTCAACACAAGTCTCACACTTATGTTTGGAATCAACATGGAATGCTGGTATGCATTTCAAGTTAACTAGCCTACGTAAAGTATCATAGTTAACGTGTTTCCTAGTCTACCATGCTACACATTGGAAGACTCAAGCAAGTAAACCGAAGCATTCACTTTATTATTCATTTTTCATTTAACAACCATTACATTGAGTTTAAACATTCCGTCGGAAACATAACCTTTTCCGACAAACATTCCACTTTTCGACAATATGACCTTGTCTGACTCAAAGACAATGCGAAAACCATGCTTATTCAAAAGTGATCCGGACACAAGGTTCTTGCGGATTTTCGGCACATACAGCATGTTGTTGAGAGTCAGCTCTTCTCCCGAAGTCATCTTTAGAACGACTTTTCCTTGGTTCTTGATTTCAGAAGTTGCTGAATTTCCCATGAACAACTTCTCTCCATTCTCAACTGCTTCACAAGCAGTATATAACTCTTTATCAGAGCACACATGTCTCGTAGCTCTGGTATCAATCCACCATTCTTTTGGATTAGAACCCACTATGTTCACTTCAGAAATGACTGCTGCGAGACTCATCTCCGACACATCATGTGCCATGTAGTCAACAACATTTACTTCTTTCTTCTTCTTTGGCAATTTGCACTCCGAAGATTTGTGGCCTACTTTGTCACACTTGAAGCACTTCCCTTGAAAATTTTTCTTAGGAATGCCCCCTTTTGGTCTCAGCTTGATCCCTTTTCCACCGGATGGCCCAGCTTTGGTTTTGTAGTTCTTACTACCTTGACCATGTTCAACAATATTGGCCTTAGCCGCACCAGGATTGAACCACTTCTTTTCGAAACTCTTGTTGTCTTCTTCAATTCGAAGTCTAACAATCAGTTCTTCAACGTTCATTTCCTTTCGCTTGTGTTTCAGATAATTCTTGAAATCTTTCCACGCGGGAGGCAATTTTTCAATGATTGCAGCTACTTGGAAAGTTTCACTCAGAATCATCCCTCCGACATGAATTTCGTGAAGAATCACTTGGAGTTCTTGCACTTGACTGATTATAGTTTTGGAGTCCACCATCTTATAGTCCAAGAATCGACCGACGATAAATTTCTTAGCCCCGACATCCTCAGTCTTATATTTCCGATCCAAAGACTCCCACAACTCCTTAGCAGTTTTCATGGTACTATACACATTGTATAGCGAATCTGGCAAACTGTTCATGATGTAATTCCGGCATAAGAAGTCCGAGTGTTTCCAAGCATTAACAGCACTGATAGCTTGAACATCCACCTCACCCTCTAGGAGTTTTGGAGCACTTTCAGTCAAGAATCTCGCAAGATTCAAGGTGGTCAGATA